TGACAAGAGCCAGGGAGCCCCTTTTGTACCGGGAAGCACAGAGTTCACCATATGTGATGGTTAAAAGCCAGCACAGGCCCTAACTGGTTTGGCTCAGTGGATAGAGCGTCGGCTGCAGACTGAAGGGTCCCAGGTTCCATTCCGCCAGGGGCATGTGCCCTGGTTGTGGGCACATCCCCTGTGGGGTGTGTGCAGGAGGAGGCTGATCCGTGTTTCTCTCTCATCGATGTTTCTAGCTCTCTATCCCTCTCCCTTCCTCTCTGTAGAATTAATAATAATAATAATTAATAATAATAATAAAAATAATAAAAATAAAAAATAAAAAGCCAGGACAGACCAGCCTGGGCTTGAATCCCACTCGACCACTAATCGGTGGTGTGGCCGTGGGCAAGTGACTTTATAAAACTGTGGATAATAATATTTACTTCACAGGACTGGTGCAAACCAAATCGTGAATATTTAGAGAGTGCTTTTAATACAGCCCACGTAGAATTACGTAAGTTCGTTAAATACGAATGTTCTAAACCGAGCAATTAGGACTTTACATCATACTCAGAACATATTCTCTGACGAACAGTGTGTAACGGTCCCTCTACTGCTCTACAATGAAATTCATGGACGGTGTAACATTTCTACTCACATAACCTTTAAGAGTTGTTACAGCGCCCTAATTGTGGGTAAAGGAGGGGTCTTTAAAAAGCAGTTAATGTTAAAACAATGGCTTTAACCTGTCCTCGCTCAGGGGCGGCCGCGTGAGGAGGAGCATCTCTGGGGAAGGGGGGGTCGGGGGGTCGGGGCGCTGCTAGCCTGTCCCCACGTCACGGACGGGGGTTCTGAAATCCTGTGCAGCTTACAGTGCTGAACAGGGCAGAGAGGAACCTCCCTTCGTCTGCCTGACAGACATTAACACTACGCAGAACCACGTGTGGATGGTAAAGTGAAGCGGGCCCCGGGCTCAGAGACTGTCCTCACCCACACGGATGTCACTGGAAAGTCAGTCACGCAGGACAGGAAGACGAGACAGGTTGCATGGGGCCATCCAGATACAGGTTCGCATCTGCGCCGGCTCCAGCCCATCGCCTCCCTGCCGACCGGAGGCCGCCCGCAGGTGTCCGTGATGACCTTGGCGGTGAGCGGCAGGCGGGCTCCGCTGGCAGGATCAGCCCCGGCTGGCTGTTGGCAGCTTCGGGAGCTCTCCCCACGGAGGCTGGGCTGGAGGCAGGGACACTGGTATGCGTGGCAAGTGTAAGGTCTGCAAAAGAGGTGATGAGCGCCTTACATAGGGCATGTCTGCGGGGAGAAAGAAGACAGGGGCTGCCCTGTCCGGTGTGGCTCAGTGGGTAGTGCATGGGCCTGCGGACTGAAGGGTCCCAGGTTTGACTCCGGTCAAGGGCATGCCCCTTGGTCTCGGGCACATCCCCAGTGGGGAGTGTGCAGGAGGCAGCTGATTGATGTTTTCCTCTCATTGATGTTTCTAATTCTCTATCTCTCTGCCTTCCTCTCTGTAAAAAATCAATAAAATATATTTAAAAAAAGAAGAGCAGGGGCTGAGGGCAGGGTCAGGAGGTGGGACTCTTAAGTGTGGGACCTGCTCCACTGGCTGGGGCCTTTCCCGAGGGGAGGGGGCACACACACGCTCTCCCTTCATTGTCTCCCAGCTCTTGGCGGACTTGCTGTCCTCATTGGGAAACAACCTCTGCTGTCCAGCCACCGGTCCCCTCCACCCCTAGCATCAATGACCACGTTACAGACCTGTGACAGCACAGCGTCTTCCTTCTCTCCTCACTCCCTCACTGCCCACCTCGCCGCCCTCTGCCTTTGGCTCCTGCTCCCACCGCTGCATGGACGCTGCCCAGTCCAGGGTTCCCCGTGGCCACCTCACCATCACACCCTGGTTCCCAAACTTAGCGTGCGTCAGAACCATCCGGAGGCCCGGTGACAGGGTGGGGTGAGTCTGTGCTCTCAGCCAGTTCCCAGGGGCCGCACCCTGAGAGCCCCAGGAGGTCAGGACACCCTCCACCGTATTCAGGACACCCTCCACGCCCCTCGCCGTCACAGGTTTCCTTTCTAACATCCTCGGCCCATGGCCACGTCCTGTGTCCTGAATACGGTGACAGAGGTCTCACCCACTCACGTGTTTTTCAGGGCCCAGCCCCGGTGTCACATACTTTTTGCCAAGGTCTCTCCCTCCTGTCACTTTCCTTTACATCTCCATACCTCCAGGAGGAGATTACTCGCATATCTGTTCAGTCATCCATTTATTAAGTTGAGTTCAGCAGATGACTGGGTCATAGTCTTTGTCCTTCAGATGCTTATAATTCCTTAAGGAAGGAGAAGGCCTTCAGAAAATTAGCAAGGGTCGGGGACGCCGTGGAGAAAAGGGAACCCTCGCACACTGGCGGTGGGGTTGTAAGTTAGTGCAGTGGCGATTCCGCAATAAAATTAAAAACAGAGCTGCCATTCGATCCAGCAATCCCATTTCTGGGTATGTGTCCAAAGAAAATGACAACACTGCTTTCTACCCCTGTGTTCATTGCATCATCCCTTAACAATAGCCAAGATGTGAAAGCAGCGTAGGTGTCACTGGTCAATGAATGGGTCAGAGAGGATGTGGTACGTGTATATGGTGGAATGTGGCTCAGCCATTGGCGACAACGTGGGTGGGCCTCGAGGGCCTGGTGCTCAGTGCTGAGCGGAGTGTGAGCCCGCAGGAGGGGCCTCGCTGAGCCTCGCCAGCCTCCCTCTGCCTGTCCCGCTGGCTCACAGTGGGGCTCAGTCCTCAGCCTCTGCGAGCCCACTCGCTCACACTGCCACGTCCAAGGCTCCTCTGGCTTTACAGCGTCTGAGCCAGCTGGGGTCTTGACCCGGAGCCTGACAGCCTGCGTTTCTAACCAGCTGCCCGGTGACGCTGACGCTGCTGGTCCGCGGACAGCAGTTTTCGTAGGACGTTTGTCACTTACGATGGACAGTTCTCAGTTGGATGCTGTGCTGTGGACACGGGGCTGAGCCCAGAGACCAACAAGAGACAGGCATAGTGAAATGGAAGGGCATGCGTGTTCCATACCAGGCTCTGTGCTCACCTCTTTCTATAGAAACCACTGCTGATGAATCTGCACACACTCCTAAGACATGAGGTAGGAACTAGGATGGTTTTGATCTTTCGGAAGAAATACCTACAGACCCCGGGGGCTGGGCTCCCCTGACTCTGGAGGAAGGTGGCACAGACCGGCGCCCAGGGTAGCGCCGGCAGGAGCTGCCTCATTAGCCGCGGGGCTGCAGGCTCGCCTGCGCTTCCGGAAAGGTCCTCCCTGACCTTGGGATGTGAAGGGAGGAACCTCAGAGCTTGGAGGAGGAGCTGACCCCTCGCCCACCTGCCAGGCACGCACCACGTCTCCAAAGCACCTCTCTCTCGGGCTTTTCAGTGTGTCACAGTATTTTGACACGAGAAGGAAAATAAGAATGGAAATGCTTTGAAACAGTCCCTTGGATTCTTGTCCTCAGAGACCATGTGACCGAACCGAAGTTTAGTCATAGGGTTCCAGTTTAACGTATGCAGTTACTATAGCAATTGAGGTTTCCTTAGTAACTAGCCGTGGCAAAAAATAATCTGGCCCCAATTAGTAATACATTTTAAAGCTCCCTCTGCCCTACACCGAGCAGCCCAGAGTTTCTGGCCAAGGACCAGATGATGCACGGAGTGTCGTGTGCACCCACACAGAGAGAGTTGCATGCCGTTGGGTGAACTGGGCTGGAAAGCAATGGAAAAGGGCTAGTCGTCTTAAGTATTGTAGGAACCCGACCTGGAAAGTCGACTGGCAGGCTGATGTGAATGAGTTTACCAATCGGTGGGGGAGCTTACTGGTAAGCCCCGCCCTAGGCCCGTTGTGTGCCCCCCGAGGTGATTGTGTCTGAAGAAGGGATCAGGCAGGAGTCTGGGCTTGATCCTAGAAAAGAGGAAGCGAACAGTGGGGCGTGGGGCGTGGGAGGCGGGACGCGGGGTTTTTTTCCTGTCCCTGCGAGGGATGCCCGTGATGGCTGCAGCAGCCTGCAGGCGTGAGCGTTCGGCAGCCCCTCGTGCGGAGTGTCGCCGGATTTACCAGGCGTGTCCTCCACCGAGCCTGCGCTTCGAGCTGCTTTCGCGGTCAGGGCGCCGGGTGTCCGATCCCGCCACGCCTCCGCTGGCGGAATCCTCTCGGCCATTCGGAAGGGTGGTCCCCGAGTGGCCAGCCTGCCCCGGTGACAGCCCGCGGCCTTCGGAGGCTGCAGGGGCCTTGGTATGTGGGACTCGGGCCGGATGCTGCTTGTGCACTCCCAGCGGTAAGTGAGCCAGCGGCCGGCACTGCCCGGGGAGGCCCGGGACCAGCCGAGGGCACAGGCCTTGGTCTGGAGCCAGACACTGCCCGGCAGAGGTGCTGGGGACAGCCTCGGCACCCCTGGCCTGGCCTCCCTTCCCTCCAAGGTCCCTGCCTGGCCCTGGGTCTCTTTCTCAGCAGGTGAGTGGTTTGGTCCCGAAAGGCCAAGTGTGAAGAGGGATGGAAGTGGGTGACGGTTTTACTATTAGCGTTCTAGAGCTGTGGTCGGCAAACCGCGACTCTCGAGCTTTCCTCTGTGGAAGCTGCCTGGGGCGTGGGGACTCCAGGGCGAGTCCCGGGAGATGCGTGAGACACCTCCTGGAGGTACACTGTACCGTGAAAAGGAATGTTTTTTCTCTGTCACCTAAAAGCAAGGGAGCCACTAAACTGTTCAAGCAGGGAAAGGATGTGGGCAGATCTGTGTTGTCCCTGGGTCCCCCTGGAGGCCACGTGAGGCAGGGGGAGCAGGCAGGAGACAGGGAGAGGTGGTGAGGGCCTGAGTGGGGAGGAGACGGAGGGAGGGCTGTGGGGTGAAGTCCGGTCCCTCTCACGGAGCCGTGCTTTGGAGGCGGAGCCTGGGAGTGGGGCTTGGACGGCCGTGACCAGGGCCGTGTGGCGCCTCTGCTGACCTCCCGCTTTGCTCTGCAGTGACCAAGCTGCAGGTGAGCAAGTCCAAGAGGACCCTGACGCTGGTGGAGAACAGGCCCATCCAGCTGAACTGCTCCGTCAAGTCCCAGACCAGCCAGAACTCCCACTTCGCTGTGCTCTGGTACGTGCACAAGCCCTCGGACGCCGACGGCAAGCTCATCCTCAAGACCACGCACACCTCCACCTTCGAGTACGGCACCTACGCCGAGGAGGAGGGCCTGAGGCCCAGGCTGCAGTTCGAGAGGCACGCGTCCGGGGGCCTGTTCAGCCTCACCGTCCAGAGGGCCGAGGTCAGCGACAGCGGCAGCTACTACTGCCACGTGGAGGAGTGGCTGCTGAGCCCCAACTTCGCTTGGTACAAGCTGGCGGAGGAGGTTTCGGGGCGCACAGAGGTCACGGTGAAGCAGCCAGGTGAGCAGAGGGGGGTGCAACCACCCAGCCCAGTGTGTTTAGTGTGGAGAGGCCTGCACAGGGCCCTGGGTCCACACTGGCTGTGGGTGCAGGCACTCAGGCCATCTTCCTGGCGCAAGGAGGGCCGCACACTTTGCCTGCAAGGGGTTCCAGCACCAATGGCAAACTCAGCATCCTCACCAGGGAGAGGCCCGAAGGGCGGCTGTGGTTGGCAGGACGTGGCAAGGCAGGATTTTGGCAGCTCCCGCTCTCTTTCGAAGTTTGCAGCTCGCACCCTGGATCCTGGGCTGGGACAGCTTTCATCCTTGGGATCCTGCCCAGGAGGCATTTTCTGGGCTCTCTCACCTGCTGCCTTACCTCCTGTCCCAGCCCAAGAGGAGAGCTTTCCGTCTCCAAACCTGTGGGGGCAGCCCGACCCGTGGCCTCTGACCTCTGCCAATGCCTCCAGGGAGGGAGCGCTCACCACCCCCCAGGCCTCAGCTCCGCCTTAGGGCGCCCTCGTTGTTGAATGTCCCATCCCCGTCATCTCCCTCTCAGGTTTCAGATCTGCCCTAGAACAAGGGTGGGAACATCCGGCCCGCAGGCCAGAGGAGGCCCTGGAAATCACTGGGTCTGGCCCTGCCAAAGCATCAGCAGCGAGTTAGTTCAGTGAATGTTTGGCCAGTTACAGCAGGCTGGTTTTTAAGTTGATAATTGTGCATGGCCCATGAATGATGTGATCAATACCCAAATGGCCCTTGGCAGGAAAAAGGTTACCACCTCTGCTCTAGAACATTCCCAGAGAGGTTTGGGTCATCCCTTTCCGTTACAGTCATGCACCGCAAAGCGACGTGTGAGCCGACAATGGACCGCTTATATGATGGTCCAACCTATATATATAAAAGCATAAGTGACTGGATGACTGGAAGACGGGTTGGTAGCTATGACGACCACCAGGGGACAGACACTCAATGCAGGAGCTGCCCCCTGGTGGTCTGTGCATTCCCACAGTGGGAGCGCCACTCAGCTGACAGACAGCCACCAGATGCTGGCAAACACTCACCTTGCATGCCAGAGCCGTGGTGGTAGCAGGTGTAGTGGGGCCAGGCTGAGCGGGAGCAGCTTGGTACTCAGCCTGGGCTTGGGCTCCTCTCGGCTGCCTGCCGCTTCGCACACTACTCTGTGCTGTGGACAGCGGGCTGGAGTCTGATGAGCTGGCGGGAAAGGCCAGGCTGTGGGGGCGCAGAGGCCCACTGATCCCCACAGGCCCGGCCGAGGGACCTGTGCACGGGGCCTCCGGTGAGATTGTAAAGGAGCTGGATTCCTGTGAGAAGCGGAAGGCTGTGTGGCTCCGGAGGATTTTTCTCTGCCGGGAGCAGTGGGCAATAGAGTCCCTCTCGCTCACAGCACCTCAGTTCTGAGTGCACGGTGACATCCCAGCCAGTTACCCACTCACCCATTTCAGACAGAGGAGCCTGTCAGCTCAGTGCTGCCGATTTCTCATTCCCACCGGCCCTCACACCACCTGCACTGCCTCCTGACAGTCTGTCAGGGTGACCCACGCCTCACCCAGCAGTTTCTTCCCGATATTCCCAGCTCACATCCCTGCTCCGGGAGCAGGACTGGCCGCCTTGAGGCTCTCTCTCTGACCCTGTTAGAAGGAAGCAGGGGGAGGGCTTGTGGGATAGGGTGTACGCCTGCGGGCTTCACAGTCCCTCCCCACTCCTCACTGACCCACCCAGAGCAGCTTCCGGCCCCGCAGGCTCCATTCACGGCCCGCACCCCATACAGGTGCATCCTTGCTCAGCTTTTATTTCTACTGCACCTTTTCTGTGTTTGGGCGCACCAGTGCTCCCCGTTGCCTGACAGCTGCCTACGGTATTGAGCACAGGAGCAGGCTGTGCAGACGTGCAGCCCGGGCCAGACCCCAGAGCCTAGGTGTGCAGGAAGCCGCACTGACGAGGTGTGTGTGAGTGCACTCTGACGTTCACACAGTGACAAGGTCGCCTGAAGACACTTCCTCAGGGCGTATCCACGTCGCTCAGTCGCGCGTGGCTGTGTGTGAAGGGAGCGAGTGTGCCCGTCCGTCTCCCCTTCTTGTTAAAGCAGCTCCGGAACAAGCACGTCCAACTCACAGGCTCACACGGGCCAGATAAACAAGATCTACGTGTATGTGGCCGGCAAGAACACAAAAGCTTCTGTTTTCACAGAAACGTAGCTTTATTTCGATAGAGACATTCTGAATACAAAGGACTGAAATAAATGAGTCATCGTTAACATAAAATAATAGAACATTTTAATAAAAATTAATGGTTTTTTTTTTTTAACATTAACTTTCCAGACACTGAATAACTGCACAACCTAATAAGCGTAACGCAAATAAGCCAATTTTTCTTGTTCTCCAAAAGCAAAATATTTCCTGTTGCGCACACCAAACAAGTCAGTCCAAGACTAATGCCGTGGCCATCGGCTGCTAAAATATTTGCTGCCGGTAAAATATTTGCTGCCAGTATCGGTGGAGAGAAATGTGTGCCGGTGGGTCAGGGAAATGAATGCAACATGATTATAGTAATCGGTCATTAGCGAATGTCGTAGTTCATTATTAATAATTATATATAATAGGATATTGTAAAAATTAAGTTACGAAAAATTTTATTGAAACATTTTAAAAAAAATATATTTTATTGGTTTTGTACAGAGAGGAAGGGAGAGAGATAGAGAGTTAGAAACATCGATGAGAGAGAGTCATCGATCATGCTCGCAACCAAGGTGTATGCCCTTGACCGGAATCGAACCTGGGTCCCTTCAGTCCCCAAGCCAACGCTTTATCCATTGAGCCAAACCGGTTTCGGCTTGAGCACTTGAACATTTCTTAATACCTTTCTATTGGCTGGGCCGCAAAAATTATTCATTGTGGGTCACATGTGGTCGGCGAGTTTGACATGCTTGTTCTAGGACTTCTCACGTAAGGTGGCCCTGAGCTCTCTCTCCCTGCGTGCTCTACCATTGGTTGTCACTGTCCTTCTGGAAAGGGTGCTGTGTGGGCAGCTGGAGCCCCATCTCCCTGCCTTTTCTTCTGCTGCCCTCTCCCCTGGCATGCCCCTGTCCTGTTCTCTGTCATCACCCCATTCCCAACACGTCACTCAGCACCTCCTCCAGGAAGCCTTCCCTGATACCTCCCCTACCACCAGGGGTTTCTTACAAAACACATAGCACAACAAGTGTGTGCTTGCACCACCACCCCCCCCCCCCCCCCATTATACGGTAAGCGCTTTGAGGTCAGGGCTGTGTCTTTGTGTCTTCGGCCGTTGGCGTGGCCCCCTTAGTAAATATTGTTTGACCAAGGAATGAATGGCCTTTGACTATCCTCGCAGCCTGGAACACATTGACCGTGGGTGTCCATTTATCTCACTCTTCCTCAGAGAGGCTGGCTCTTTTGAACTGAAACAGCATTCTAGGCATCCTGTGTCCCCTCCCCGTCCCTGCTCACTTACTTGTGTGTAGACAGGTAACGATGAGCACGTAGGCCTAGTCACACTTAGGGACATTCATGGATTGTCAGTTATTACGTGTCACATACTCGTCGTTGACATGCTTGTGCCTCCCGCTGGGCCTGACGCTCCCTGCGTGAGCGCAGGTCCTTGGTTTTCTGCGCCACTCTGTTCCACGGCCCGTCTCCCAGGAGCCCGAGGCTCGGCACCTGTCGTTCAGAAGGCACAGGGAGAGGGTTCCAAGTCCAGGCGTGGCTGACCCTCCTGTTCCTCGGCTACTGTGTTTCTAAAACGGCCCAAACCACAGGAACTTGCTCTGCTGACCCTCTGCTGCTGCCCGCCCTAGGAAGGAAGCTCTGGGCCAGGTGCCTCCGGGTACTTCCCGTGACCTGTGTCCTGCCTCCCGGGCCAGTCCCAGGGGCTTTTGAAAACAGAAGTTGGAAGTGGCCGTTGGGCCCACAGAGGCTCTTGCAGGTTTCTGTTCTTCCTGTCCCTCTTACTTTCTGACCCGGCTCGCCACTGAGAGCACACAGGCCGCCCCGAAAGTGTTCTCTTCATCACCATCAGCCCTTTCCCTTTCCTCTGTGCCGAAGCCAAGAGGTTCCCTGCAGATCCTAAACTTTTTAAAAACATATTTTTACTGATTTCAGAGAGGAAGGAAGAGAGAGAGAGAGAGAAACATTAATGATAAGAGAATCATTGATTGGCTGCCTCTGCACACCCCCTACTGGGGATGGAGCATGCAACCCAGGTATGTGCTCTTGAGTGGAATCGAGCCCGGGACCCTTCAGTCTGCAGGCCCACGCTCCATCCACTGAGCCAAATGGCCAGGGCCAGGTCCTAAATCTGTCCTGGGTTTTGACAAGAATCCGTACGGCCTTTCGAACTGCCCCAGTACAGCCAGCCCTTCGCACTGTACAGCCAGCCCTTCGCACTGCCCAGTTCACCTGCTCTGAGTCTCGGCCTCGGGTGGGGAACTCCCGGGATAAATTTAGGATCTGGGAGTTTCCCACTTAAAGCTGAGACTCAGAGCAGGCGAACTGGGCAGTGCGAAGGGCTGGCTGTACTGATTCTTGTCCAAACACAGTGAAATCTCACATACAGGGAATGTTAACACTGAACAGAGCTCACGAGACACTGATGAGGACAGCACATCCCGTTCCCCCTTTTCCATTGAGATTTTTTTGGTTTGAATATTTTTTCCCTCTACTTCTAGTTCCCCTCCCCCCTCCCCTTTTCATTTTCTGTTGAGAAAGAATACACTATAGAGCTTTTGGAGAATACAGAAGCACAAAGAAGAAAACAATCTTTCAACCCAGAGACACCAGAGAGAGAAGGGGGTGGGGGGAGAGAGAGTGAGAAAGATATATATATATATCTATATATCTATCTATAGATCTATATATATCTTTATATCTATATCAATATAGATATAGATATATATAGATCTATAGATGGATGGATAGATAGATAGATAGATAGATAGATAGATAGATAGATAGGTGTTTTGGAGAGACTGCTCATTTAAAATGTGGCTCAGTGGTTGAGCATCTGCCTAGGAACCAGAGGGTCAGAGTTCGATTCCCAGTCGGAGCACATGCCGGGTTGTGGGCTCAGTCTCCAGTAGGAGGTGTACAGGGGGCTGCCAATCAATGATTCTTCCTCATCGTTGATGGTTCTCTCTCCCTCTCCCTCTCCCTTCCTCTCTGAAACCAGTAAAAATATGTATTTTTTTTAAAAGTAAAATAAAAATCTCTTGCCCGGGGAGGGGTCTCACCAGGCCCTCTCCCGTCCCTTCCCAGCCACCTGCCCTCAGCCCTATGCCGCGTGGCCCGCTGTCACCGGGATGTGCGGTCACCGGCACGCGTCGTCTCGGACAAGAGGGCGTGCTTGTCCCCTGCTCGGCCTCCGGGCTGATGAGGGTTGCACATGGGGAGAGCGGTCACGGTCACATTGAACTCTGTAAAACTCCGACACTCGGGCACACGCCCCCGAACTCGAACACACAGGGGGCCACGCGTGAGACAGGCTTCCTCGGACGGAGGGCACCGTCCTCTGTGCTTGGAGGGCACCCCTCACCCGTGCCTGGGGGGGGGGGGCGCCTGCGGGCGGCGGGCTGCTTTCTGACCTCTCTCCCCTCGCTTCGCAGACAGCCGCCTGAGGCTCCGCCAGGTGCAGGGGAACCTGTCGGTCCTGGAGACGCGGCAGGTGCAGCTGGAGTGCGTGGTCCTGAACCGCACCAGCCCGGCCTCCCAGCTCGCGGTGGAGTGGTTCGTGTGGAAGCCCAACCACCCGGAGCGGGAGGCCGTGGCCCGCCTGAGCCGCGACGCCACCTTCCGCTACGGGGAGCAGGCGGCCAAGAACAACCTGAAGGGGCGGCTGCACCTGGAGAGCCCGGCCCCGGGCGTGTTCCGGCTCTTCCTGCAGAATGCCGCCGTGCAGGACAGCGGCACCTACAGCTGCCACGTGGAGGAGTGGCTGCCCAGCCCCGGCGGCCTGTGGTACAAGCGGGCGGAGGACACGGCCGGGCAGACGGCCGTCACAGTCACACGGCCAGGTGAGGGCTCCTGTCCCCGGCCTCCACCCCCTTCCCACTCCCCTGTGCGTGTGGGTCACACGCGCTGAGTAATGTCAATCAGCCCGTCCATTGTCTGCCGTCACACGTGTGCGTGTTCGCCGCTTGCGTGTGCGTTCAGTGTTGCCTCCGTTTTCCCCCTCGTGAAGCGTACGTCTGGCTTGGGCCTCAGGGGACTCTGTTTCTTCACGAGACTCTCATTGGACGATGAATGATTCCAGCGCATGGAATGTCTCCTTGTAAAGAACACATTCAGGCTTGGGCAAGGGGGGGGGATGTGCAGGAATCTGCAAACAGGAGCCAGGGGTTTGGAAAGGAAGTTGACGGAATTTCAGTGGGAAAGTGGATGCTGGTGCTTCCGGTAGAAAAAGGGGGGGTCCATGCAGCCTGCACCCTCTCGCTTCCGAGCAGCGTCACTGAGTGTCCAGTCCTGTGGCCTTGTGCTTCTCTTGTGTGTCTTGCTGGTTTCTAACGCACCGGAAAACACACCATTCCTGGGGCTGGTGACGGTGACACGTTTAAGCGCGCAATGAAAGGGGACTTGGAGCGGTTCCTGTGCCCGCTGCCATCATGTCACCAGTCACCCGCGTCCCAGGGGCTTGGCGGAGCCCCACAGAAGCAGTGGGAACCCCAGCCTTGTGTTCGCCGGCGAGCGACATTAAGCCAATTCATTGAAAGCCCAGGACAGTCCTTGGGCAATGCTCCGATTTGGTCTTCGTCCAAGGAGACTCCGGCGTGGTCTCCGCTGCCTTTGTTGATGCTGCGCTTCATAAGCAGCCTTTTAGGAGCTGGGGAGAATGGTTTGTGTAGAACCTACCCCCGTGAGCCTTAAAAACAGCTGCCAAACGGAACAGATCGGGGCTGCCTGACGGTGTCTGAGCCGTGACTCACCTGGTGGGGCGCCTCCCGAGCTGCGGTGTCTGTCGGGGAGACGCTGCCTGTGTCATCCTCCGAGGGTGGGGGTCCCTGCTCTTTGGTGTCTGCTGTTTGGCTTCTGTCCTTGGAGAATGTTCTCCTCCTCAGGGGTCACGGTAAGGTAGGCAGCAATCTACACGTGGTGCAGATGCAAAGGCTGCTGGGGGCAAATTCATCTCCCGGGCCCCCCGAGACCAACGAGCCCGGCCCTGATGGCTGAAAACACCGAAATCCTTCTCTATCGGTTCTGGAGGCTGGAAGTCCGAGATCAGGGTGTCCCCAGGGCCGTGCTCCCCGGATGTTTCTCCTGAGGAATCAGTCCTGCCCGCTCTCCCCAGCTCCTCGGGCCCCAGGTGTCCCTGGCCTGCAACTGTGTCATTCCAGCCCTTGCCTCCATCCTCCCTGTCTTCTCTCTGTGTCTCCATGTGTCCTCCCCTCCTCCTCCCCCTCCTCCTCCCCTTCTTCTTCTTCTTCTTCTTCTTCTTCTTCTTCTTCTTCTTCTTTATATTGTATTGACTTTTTACAGAAAGGAAGAGAGGGGGTAGAGAGTCAGAAACATCGATGAGAGAGAATCATCGCTCAGCTGCCTCTTGCACACCCCCTACTGGGGATGTATCTGCAACCAAGGTACATGCCCTTGACCGGAATCGAACCCCGGACCCTTCAGTCCGCAGGCTGATGCTCTATCCACCGAGCCAAACCGATTTTGGCGACTTCTTCTTTTTAAACATATGTTTTTTATTGATTTTAAAGAGCGAGGAAGGGAAAGGGAGAGAGAGGGAAACATTGATGTGAGAAACATTGATTGGCTTGCCTCCTGCACGTCCCCTACTGGGGGTTGAGCCCGTAGCCTGGACGTGTGCCCTGTCCGGGAATTGAACCTGCGAACTTCGGTGCCACACGTGCCAGCGCCTCTCCCCTTCTTAGGAGGACCCCAGTCGCTGGATTTAGGGCTCATCGTAACTGAGGTGCATCGGAACAGACCCTGTTTCCAGTTGAGCCCCCATGCCAGGGTGCCAGGAGGACGTGAATTTGTGAGGGTGGGCGGAGGACACACCATTCAACCACTGCCAGGGTTTACAGTGACTATAACTGCTCCCCTCACCCGATTCCCGTAAGCAGCCACGTTGCCAGGTCTGTGAATCCTCCCACGGGCACCCAGGCAAACGTAGACGGACATGCACGTCAGAATAAAATGGCCGTCCGCTCACCGTGTGCGTAGGGAACGCAGCACGCTGCCCCCCGGCGCCTTTCCCGGGCCCTCTCCCATGTCCGCCCGTAGTGCCGCTCGTTCCTCCCAGCAGGTGCGCGGCGTGCTCTTGTCTGGATGGACCACAGTGCGGTTAGTGGTGGACACTGAGGTGGTCTCGAGCAAGGAAATTAAAACAGGCTCCTCTCCCTCCTGTGTCCCCGTCCCCGTCCCCCCCCAGAGGCCGCCCTGCAGGTGGACACGGTAGTCCCCAACGCCACGGTGACCGAGAAGGCAGCGTTCCAGCTCGACTGTAGCATCGTGTCGCGCTCCAGCCAGGACTCCCGCTTTGCGGTGACCTGGTATTCCCTGAGGACTAAAGCCGGGGGGAACGCGGGCAGCCCCGGCCTGGAAGAACGGGAGGACGAGGACGAGGAAGAGGAGGACGAGGACGAGGACGAGGAGGAGGACCCGACGGCGCGGACGGCCCTGCTGAGTGTGGGCGCTGATGCTGTGTTCGGCCCCGAGGGCGGCCCCTGGGAGGGCAGGCTTCGCTTCCAGAGGCTGTCCCCCCTGCTCTACAGGCTCACGGTGCTGCAGGCAAGCCCCGGAGACACCGGCAACTACTCCTGCCGCGTGGAGGAGTGGCTGCCCAGCCCCCAGAAGGAGTGGTATCGGCTGACGGAGGAGGAGTCGGCCCCCATCAGCGTCCGAGTGCTGGACACTAGTGAGTTTTCCCGATTTACAGGGGGGCAGTCGGGGTTGGGGGGGGGGGGGCGGGGAGGATGTCTCATTAGGTTACAACCGTCTGGAAGATAAAGATCACAGCTCGGTCATGGGTTCATGAGCTGCATTCTCACCTGTCCTGGGCATTTAGGATCTGCATACCAGTTTGTGGAACTGACCCTTGATTCCTTATGCCCAAAACAGGGACTGAGCCCTGGCCGGTGTGGTTCCGTTGGTTGAGCACCATCCCATGCACTGAGAGGTCTCTGGTTCTATTTTCTGACAGACTCAGTTTCCAGCAGGGGGCGTGCAGGAGGCGGCCCATCAATGATTCTCTCTCATCATTGATGTGTCTCTTTCCCTCCCTTCCTCTCTGATATATATATATATATATATATATATATATATATATATATATATATATAATATATAGAGAATAAAAAGCAGCGGTTCTCAACTTTTTTAATGCCGCGACCCTTTCACACAGTTCCTCATGTTGTGGTGACCCCCAATCATAAAATTACTTTTGTTGCTCCTTCATCACTGTCATTTTCGATGATGGTCTTAGGCTCTGCAGCAGCGGTTCTCAACCTGTGGATCGTGACCCCCCAGGTTGGGAACCGCTAGCAGGGTCGCCCAAGACCATCAGTTATTTAGTAGCAACGACAATAATTTTATGGTTGGTGGTGGTGGTGGTGGGGGGGGTCACCACAGCACGAGGAGCTGTGTATTAAAGGGTCACGGCGTTCGGAAGGTTGGGAACCACCGGTATGAAGGTTGTCCCCATTCTCAGTGGCGGAAGGGGGAGGGCAAGTGGCTCCCATGGGGTCGGGCGAGGTTTTTCAGGAGCCGAAGCCGACAGCCCGGGCCCTCGGCCCTCACTGTCCTGCCTCCCTCCCGGCCCTTCCAGGCTCCACCCTGCAGTCCGCCATCTGCTCCAACGACGCGCTGTTCTACTTCGTCTTCTTCTACCCGTTCCCCATCTTCGGCATCCTCATCATCTCCATCCTGCTGGTGCGCTTCAGGAGCCGGGGCTCCAGCAAGAACTCGGAGGGGAAGAACGGGGTGCCCCTGCTGTGGATCAAGGAGCCGCACCTCAACTACTCGCCCACCTGCCTGGAGCCGCCCGTCCTCAGCATCCACCCGGGAGCCATAGACTGAGGGCCCCCCCCCCCCGCCCCCCCCCGGGGACGCCGGCCTTCAGGGGCCGAGGGCTCCCACGCTGCCTCTCGCTCTGTGATGGGACGGCAGACGGCACCCAGACCCCGGACAGCCCTCCCAGAAAACTGTCCGACGCCAGATGTGTTCACGGTCCCCGGCCGGCCCCGGAGGCAGCCTGCTGCCCGGGGGGCGGCGGCCCCGGCGGGTGAGCGGTGTCCGGGCCGGTGTGGCCATCCTGGCGCATTAGGTCTCTTGTGTTCGTTCTTGGTGATGTAGCGAGCGGCGCCGGGTGCCCCGCCCGCTCACCGGTAGAAATAGGCAGACGTCGCAGGGGGTCTCACTCCTCCCTGTTGGACGCTTTCCGAAAACCCGTGGTTTATTCGTTTTTGGATTTCGTAACGTTGTGGACGCGTTTCTCCTGCGGATGAGAGGAGGAGAGACGGACCGTTTAGTGCGAAGGAATCCCTGCCGAGAGAGACCTTTGCTTTTGCACACTTGAAAAATGCCACCACCGGTGGAGCAAAAGACACCGAGCGTTTTTTTTACTCTCTTCACTTGACTTGAAAAATCATGGGAAGCGTGGGCCCAGTTTGTATCTTATCTCTCCCCTCAGCTGGAGTTGTGTTTTTTTGTTTGTTTGTTTGTTTGTTTTTGTTCCAAGAACTGTGTCTGTGCGAGACAAATCTTGCATAAGCCCATTAGGAGGAAGGAGATGGTGGCCGGCCAGCCTGTTCGCCAGGGAGGCGGAAGCCAGTATCCTCCTGGTCTTGCAAAAAAAAAAAATCTGAAACCCTTGTTGGAGGACAAGCCAAAAGCCCGCTCGCAGCGTGGGATGGGGGAGCTTTCAGCAACGACTGACCCGCAGGCCGGTCGGAGCCCGTGGGCAGTGGCGGGAGGAGAAGGGCTAGTTGTTGGCTGATGCCTCCGCGGAGGGCAGTCTCCAGCTGGTAGCTGAGCAGGGGACCTCCGTGCTGAGGTGCTTTGCCAAACCCTGAAGGGAAAGTGGCCAGTGAGTCGGGGAAGGGGACAGCGCTGAGCTAAACATACCCAGAGGGCACTGGGCCCCGCACTGCTCAGTCCCTTGCACAATGGGCAGCCGCTGTCAGAGCTGATTTCGGGGAGCAGGCAGGAATGACTGCCTCCCTGGAGGTGTGAAGGCTGGGCTTGTTCCTCTTTCCTTTCCATTAGATGCAGATGTCTTTCCTCCTCACCATCGATCTCTCCCTGCTTCTCGCTGCCGCGCCCAGGGAGGTCCCCTCCGCCCTGTGTCACCCTCCGCCCTTTGCAGGAAGCACCACTGCCTTTGTTTCCCTTCCCTTCCCCAGATCTTGTTTGCGGTTTAGGTGGCTTGGCGGTCTGTTGCGATGGCAGTGTTTTATTCAGATCCAACAGAGGCCCGTGTCACCGGCTGCCTCACAGGCCAGAAGCGTGGCCCCAAGTGCTCACCCCTCCACAAGGTGTTTCATGCCTCGCCTTTCCCGTGTTTTGTGGGCCGGGGTGGTGGTGGTGGGGGGCATCACCCTTTCTCGGTGAGCATACATCTCGAATCCCAAGGGCGTTCCCGGTTTGGAAAAAGCCAGCACGGATTTGGGCTCTAGGCCGGATCAGAGAGATCGCTGGGAAACCCTGTTCTGAGAGGCCCTGTGGGTGCTGATCCTGCTCTGGGCCTGGCATGCAGGTGCCCTGGGGTGCTCAGCAGGTGCTTTGCTGCGTCCCGGCCGAAGGGAAGCATTTCCTGACAGGCTCACACACACCTGCCTTCTGCGCCTTGCAGGTGCCCCAGCGCGCTCTCCCCGCGCCGTGCTGCATGAAGGTTATGTGGCGCACATGCGGCTCAGTGGTGAGGGAAGAAGGCACGCTTTTGCCCCATTTCAAGGCCGTGGGCTTTCAGTGGGAAATTGCTGACCTTTGACTAACAGACTGAGTCAATGAAGGAAGAAGACTCACGGGTCCTCGGTCTGAATGGAAAGATGCCAGAGGGCTGTCTGGGACCGGGACGTGCGCCTGAGGCTTGAGTTGGAATTGACTGACAGCTGCAGAAAGGTAGCTGCTGCCACGTCATTACATAGGTGAAGTACCATCGTGGGAACTCTGAAAGAAAAGAAACCGAAGCCAGTATTTTAATGATTGTTGTTGTTGATTTCCTGTGTCTTTTCTACGGGCTTGGGGATACCCTCCAAGGGGGGGAGCTTTTCCAGCTTTCTATGACGATCCCCAGGACCTCCCCTTGTTTTGGCCATTTCTATGGAAATGTGTTGTCAGATGAAGGGTACTGGCGCCCTCTAGTGGCTGGGAGACCTCATTGCACATTGCCGACCGGAGCTTTGAGACCAGGAGACGGCCAAATGACTTCTCTCCATCTACTATGTTGCATCTATGAACCTTACACTGTGCGAGGCCCCTCCCAGGACATGGATATGACCACACCCACTTTGGCCGGGGTGTTTCTGTAGCAGGTTTTCATATTCTTTTCAAACAATGGTTTCTCTGCGTTAGTAGTTAAAGAAGAAGAAAGGAGGCGAAGAAAACCACCCATGCATGATGTAGAGAGCTGTTGGTTTTGTTTGTTTGTTTTTTTTTAAAGGAAAACTATTTGTAAGATGTTGCACTAAGACGTTTTATATACACTTCAGACACCTGTAATAAATTATGTTGAAAATATGGCTGGCTGCCTTTCCTGGAGCGCGCTGTCGCCTCCTCCACGAACCCGCACCCTGGGGTAGCAGTGAGCTCTGCCCCTGCTAGGCTCAAGGTTCATGAATCCCGGCCTTCATTATCCTATACTGCCCCCAGCGTAAGCAGTGCCCTTGTGCACTCGACACCAAAAAAGACAAAAACCCTTTCTCCAAACACTTGACTGCCACCAGCTGAAAATGGATCATCGTAAACATATAGCTCTACCCTGACTGTGCAGGCTGTGCTGTGCAGCACACACCACCCCGGAGGCCTGCGAGGCAGGTTCAGAACACAGAGCTTGTGACCTCTAGCTTCCTTTTGAGGGGTTGGGGGAGGAAGCGGGCAGGGTGGGGTAAGAGGAGACTGATGGAGAAGAGCGGGAACATGGGACAATCTTCTCCGTGGAGGGCCCTCGAGGGTCTCTGCAGCAAGACCACACCATCTTTCTCAAGCTGGGGAGATACTCGGCAGGCATTTTCCAGGCTGGAGGAACGGCAGGAGCTGTGCATTCTTGATCAGTGAGAGCACACAGCACCACCATCTCAGGCCCCCGCACAACTGGAGTGCTGGGCGTTGTCTGCAAAGGGAGGAGAAGGGCAGAGTGACGCAAGCCATAGCAGCAGCACGTGACTAGTCAGAGCCCAGCTGTCAGTGTTTAAAGCACATCCCAAAATATGCCAGAAGGACCCAGATAGAGGGCACGAAGCAGAGGGAGGTGTTTTTCCTTTTTCTTTTAAACCCAAGCCCTTCCAGTGCTTTCCTCAGCTCCTTATCAACTTCCTGCAGCTGTGGGCTTGGCCAGCAGTTGAAATGTGACTTTATCCCTTGGGTACCCAGAGCGGTTCCATATTAAGTCTTGTTATTTTTTCTGCTTTTTTCTCCAAGTGCTCTTCCCCTATCCCTTAACCCCCACCACCTCGTTTTTTTAAAATAATTTTTTAAAAAATATATTTTATTGATTTTTCACAGAGAGGAAGAGAGAAGGATAGAGAGTTAGAAACATCGATGAGAGAGAATCATCCATCAGCTGCCTCTTGCACACCCCCTACTGAGGATGTGCCCGCAACCAAGGTACATGCCCTTGACCGGAATCGAACCCGGGACCTTTTAGTCCGCAGGCCGACTCTCTATCCACTGAGCCAAACCAGTGCCGGCTTTAAATCATTTTTCAACTAGAGGCCCGATGCATGGAATTTGTGCAAGGAGCTTGGCCCTCACAGCTGCCCACTGTTCATTTTGGAAGGTTATTCTGGAAGGTCATTCTGCCATCCGGTCTAATTAGCAAATTAGCACATTATTATATAGGATTACTCTTGACATACAACATACTAATTTCAGATGTGCTCCCCAGCGATTAGACATTATATTACTAAGCAATCGTCCTGATAAATCTCATATCCATCTAACACCATTCAGAGTTATTAGAATAATGTTGACTATATTCCTTATGCTGTACTTTACATCCTGTGACTATTCTGCAACAACTGATTTGTACTTCTTAATCCCTTCACCTTTTTCACTCATTTCCCAACCCTCCTCTCACCTGGCCAACAGTCAGAATACCCTCTGTCTATGAACCTGTTTCTATTCTGCTTGTTCCTTTATTTTGTTTTTTAGGCTCAATTATTGATAGATATGTATTATTTATTTATGTTATTTATATTTTTTATCTTAAAGAAGACCCTTCAACATTTCATGCAATACTGGTTTGATGGTGATGAACTGCTTTAGCTTTTTCTTGTCTGGGAAGCTCTTTTTATGTGTTTCAATTTTATTTTTATCTTTTTAAATCCTTACCTGAGGATATTTTTCCATTGATTTTTTTTTTTTTTTTAAGAGAGAATGGGAGAGGGAAAGACAGAAATATTGATGTGAGAGAAACACATCAATTTTTTTTTGCCTCCTGCATGCATCCCGACTAGGGCTGGAACCAGGGAGGAACCTGCAACTGAGGTATGTGCCCTTGACTGGAATTGAACCCTGGACCTTTGGGTCCGCAGGCCGACACTCTATCCACTAAGTCAAACGCACTAGGGCCGTGTTTCCATTTTAAATGATAACTTTGCAGAGTAGAGTAATCTTGGTGGTAGCTACTTGTTTTTCATCACTGACTATTTCTTGCCACTCCCTTCTGGCCTATTAAGTTTCTGTTGTGCAATCGGCTGACGGTCCAGGTGAATTTTAGAGGATGTTTATTAAAGCCCAGGACAGTGAAACAAGGAAGGGCCTAGGGATAACAGGAGGGGGATATAGTGGGGAAATGGGGTTAGGCTGGGATGCTGTGGCTCACTTAGAAGTCAGAGAAAAGGAGGCCTGCGGGACCG